TCACCAATCAAAGGCTTCGGCTCACTGAGAGAAGATCCACCAATCAACTTTGTGTTGGGTAACATTGGTCTGGGATAATCTAGGATGTGGTCAAGTTCGGTAATAAAAATTTCAGCTTTTAATATAATATCACCAATTGTCGTGTAGGGTTTTTCTGGTGCTATTCTAGTCACAATGTCACTGTCTGTAAAGATGTCATAGCTGAACTCTAGAATCGTACGTAAGGTAGAGGTTAGTCTTTGATAGAATGTCATTTTGTTGGTTACTCTGTCTGGTACTGTTGGTTCTTCAGCAGGACTAAATGGCACTCTATGTACAATTGGGTCATGCACAAATCCCACAACAGCGAAAGGAACATCCAACTTGTATGGAATAACAAACAAATTTCGATTAAACATAAAACCATCAACGACCAACAAGTCTGGCTTGATGTTCCGGATGTTGTCAATAAAAGATTTCTCATCTAAAACTTTGTTAATCAGAAGTCTAAATTCTCTGGCAGCCGACAAAAAGGAAGCTAAAGGTGAATCTTTCTCATCCCAGAAATCTTTAACCAGTTTGGAATTTTTCATTATTTGTTCCTCCATGTCACCCAGCGTTTCCCCAAACGTTGAGATCTTGATGTCTTTATGTTTGATCAAGCTGGAGTTACTCAGGTACTCTGGCATGAAGATCCACACCTCGTGACCCAGGTCTATCAGAGCCTGGCCTATGTTGGCGTGTTGGATAAAATAACTTTTGGTAATGCCGGGCAACATGACGACCCTCTTGCCCTCAGCTTGTGTGAGTATTGCAGCACTCACGTACAGACACACGATCGTCAAGACGGACATTTTCTAAACTATAAAACTTTTCAGACTTCGCTCATACAATACTGAAATTAAACATTTGTTGAAAACTTCTAAGCATGGTTCATCATCAACTTTATGTAAAAAATTATGCATTCCCCCTTACATTTTTATAAATATGGGCAAATGAAATCTTGGTTACCTACAATATTCTTCAGAACGTGTAGGTTTTTGGATGAAGGCATTTCGGTGTTTAAAAAGGCTACATTTAAAGGAAACTATGAACAAACAATTTCTTTATTTAGTCTACTTTATTTGGTTCAATAGTTTTATTTTTTATTAGCATTCAAAAACTAGCATTAAACATTTCTTTAAAAAACTTTATAAATTTAATCACTTTAAAATCTGTGCTCTTTACTTACAGATTCAAGATAAACTTCCCGGGCTGATATTCGTTTTTCTGTACCTCTACTAATCTATCGCAGTCTATCATGCTAATCGACTCGTTCAACTTTTATAGTTACATACATCTACTCACGTCACGCGGTAAATGAAGGAGTGGCCAGGATATGGTTCGCCTGTAGTCTCGACATTCCAAAACGAGGGCATGTGTCGCCATTTTGGTAGTGTCTGTCTTTGTGTGAATAACGAGCAGCAGATCATGACTTCGGCTTTTTTAAACAGCTCTAAACCTGAATTGAGTTGCGGAAAGTAGTGTCAGGATTGCGATGGCCTTAAAAGCCAGGATTGTGATGCCATTAAAAAGCCAGAATTGTGCTCACCTAAAAAATCTAGGTTGATGATGGCCTTAAAAGCCAGGATTGTAGTGACCGTATAAAGCCAGAATCAGACTGGCCGTGAAATGACAACCTTGTGCGGTGGATTTTAAAATATTTTAAGAAACAGAAAAATCTCTTGATCCACTTTTGCATTAAGTTTTTTTTTCAGATATCTAAAATTTAATTTCTCTAATGGACGTGGAGCACATAGTTATTGTTCTGTTTCTAATTTAGACAGATTAGTATCACTGGGTGATCTATAGTTGGGTAACTAAAGCTTTGGTTACGCAATCTGTAGCTTGATTCCCCCCCCCCCCTTCCCTTTTTTATGTCAAAGAGTTTGTCAAACATTTAGGTAGCTTTGTGTTTATGAACATTCTCCGAGTATTTAACTTTGGATTAGTCCTTACTATAATCTAAATTAATTACAAGTTGAAGTAACCAATGACAATAGAATGTTTATGTAGAATTAGGGACATTCAAACTTGTTCAGTACAAACTACACAATATTTCTGGTTCATTTAAACTTGTTCAGTACAAACTACACAATATTTCTGTTTCATTTAAACTTGTTCATTACAAACTACACAATATTTCTGGTTCATTTACACTTGTTCAGTACAAACTACACAATATTTCTGGTACATTTAAACTTGTTCAGTACAAACTACACAATATTTCTGGTTCATTTAAACTCAATAAAATATTTATTTGAGTTTCATACTCTCACCCTTCTGTCCGCCACAGTTGAAGAATTTAATTGCCTCCCTGACATCCGTATAATTTAGGCCTGACTAGATCTATACAGAATGCTGTCGCATACGATGACAAAACCATTCACCCTGTGATCTTTTAATGAGATGTCATTGTATAACTCGTGATGGCTTAATTTGTATATCACGTGATGGCTTAATTTGGCCATGCCTGACGGGTGATTAACTCCAATAAAAATTTTAGTCCTATAATTGTATCAGTATTCGTCATGAGCCAAGTTATTTACATTTTTTATCTGCCCCACGCTTGGCATGCGTGGTCTTTTACTACTCCACGCTTGGCATGCGTGGTCTTTTACTACTCCACGCATGGCATGCGTGGTCTTTTACTACTCCACGCTTGGCATGCGTGTCATTCTATACATTTTGCTGAGTGATGTGGATGAGTAGGGGCTGCGGTGGCTATTTGGTGAGTCAATACCTGTAGGTGCCCTACATACGCTGACAACTTAGTCCTATCCAGGACCAATTTATTTTTACACATAGACAACATAAATGTCATCTCTAACAAAACGACTAACCCAGCTGTCAACGAAGACCTCTCATTCGGGTTTATCACGTCCAAGTTTCGTCCCATCAGCTAGTAATTATAATCTCAAGTTGTCACCAGCTTGAATGGTAAAGCTTCCATTACACGCAGATAATCTGCTTACGTTTTATTACATTAACATGTAATGGCATACATGTGTGTAAGCTAGAACTATTCTCTTACACAAAGCGACATATATATATATATATATATATATATATATATATATATATATATATATATATATATATATATATATATATATATATATATAAATCGCTTTCCTAGAACCAGACTGTTCTAGCTTCACTTTTCAAAAATGTTCACAACAAGTGTTTAAAATCTGTTTCCTTTAACATTTATAGAATAAGGACTTGGTGAAATGAAAGTGTTGTGTAATAATGGTGAGAGTTACGGTCAAGAAATATTTTCCATGATGACTAATTGGTGAATTTAAAACACAACGGTGTATGTATATCTCGAAAACAAACGGAGCTAGAACACTCTAGTTCTTGTGAAGCGATCTATCAAGAAGCTACGCTTAGTTGTTCTGTATTCGCCGCTTCCCCTATGCTGAAAAACTGGATACGCCCCTGGATATTATCCAGGTTCAAAATCGACTTTCATGCATACATTAAAACAAACAAAGTCCTGTATCATACAGTTATCTATCTATGGCATGTTTGAGCGTATTATATTTCACCATATTAATTATGATCTGCTGTGTTAGCATGTCTGATGTTGATTGGTGTTGGTTCTATGATCAATGTTATCATTGTGTATAGGGCATGACGTAACAAATAATTGTGCACTTTTTTACGCTCTAACATTGCTGCGGACAGCTTATATAAGTCAAGAACAGTTAACTTTTTGTACCAAATAACTAGAAGTTGTTATTTGGTAACTGTGACAAGTTTCCTATTACGTAAGGTAAGTTTTTGTCCAAAATGTTCTTAAAGCAAGATTCTATTTTAGGTGATTCCTCTGTTGCTCGTTTGTTCTTTTGATTCGCATTTGAACTTCGTCTGTCATAGGTCGAAACTTGCGAATGAAAATTCATCCACTTCTACCGAACCAATTTATTTCAAACTTGACACACAGGTCAAGACCCGATAACAAGACAATATGACATAAACTTTGACGTAATAACACTTGTTTAGTTAATTTTAAACTCTTTTTTTTAAATAAAAAAACGTTTATAATAATAGGCTTTTACATACACAAGATAATGTACACAACAGAGAGTAGCCTTGACATTATTTGAAGTTATTTGAAATTATTTGAAATTATTTGAAATTATTATTATTTAAAATATTTTACAAATCATGCACGATGTTATTAAAATTAAAAAATAGTTATAAAAATCAGACTGTTTGTTTTTTGATTGGCTTCACTAAAGGTTGGAAGCATTTATGTTTGGGGTCGTCCATAAATGACGTCACACTCGTAGGGAGAGGGGGTCCGTAATTTTGTGACGGTGTGTGATGAGGGGGAGGGGGGATTTCAGATGGTGCGACTTCACACTTTCGTATTATAAAAAAGCAATGTTAGAAAACGAATTTTAGACGTTATTTCGCGTTTTAGAAAGCTGTTTTAATAAATTGCAATAGGAATTGATTAAAATACTCTATTTTGACAGAGTTTAGACAAGATTTTAGGAAAATATCGATGTTTTAAAACAAATTCAACTGCAATTTTGAGAGGGGGGGGGGGTTGTAGGCTGAGGTATGACGTCATTTTAAGGGGGGGTCTGGCTTTTTGTGACGACGTGTGACGGAGGGGAGGAGGGGGGAGGTAAAAATCGTCAAAAAAAACGCGTGACGTCATTTATTGATGACCCCTAAGGTATATATTTAAATATCACAATCTCTAAATGATTGGGGTAAGGGAATTAGTGAGAGGATGGGGGGGGTAATTTCTTAATGTAGTTTTTGTTGGCAGGATCAAATACAGGGAGGGAGGGGGGGGGGGGGGTTATTGACAAGGGTACAAGTGATCTGTGGTGTAACGACAGTGGAAAGGACTGGGAGGAGGGGGGGGGGTAATGTTCTGCTCTTGTGTGTGTTTTTTTTGTGTGTAGTCCGTCAATATTTGCAACTCGTCTTGAAATAAATTGTAACAATATCATAAAATGTCCTCATTCTCATCCACAATCATACAATTTTGTTTTGGTAAGATCATACTGCAAAAATAATAATAATTAACATAATTTTTTTTGGTAAGATCATACTGTAAAAATAATAATCAACATAATTTTTTTTCAGTGACTGGTGCTGGTGAGACGATGTTCAGCATGAAGCAACACGTTTTCCTTCTTGTCGTCGCTGTTGTCGCCACTCTCTCAGACGGCAAGAAGGTCGTCATGTTTCCTGGTCTAATCAAAAGTTATTTCCTCTACCACGCCAACATAGGCCAGGCTCTGATAGACCTGGATCACGAGGTGTGGATCTTCATGCCAGAGTACCTGAGAAACTCGAGCTTGATCAAACATAAAGACATCAAAATCCTGTCATACGGCGAAAATCTCGGCGACGCTGAGACCCTTCTGTTAATCAATACAAGTCGAATTGCTGAATTCTGGGCAGGACATGATGAGAACTTTAATACGTATCTACATGCATCAAACGTAATGAAAGAATACATTAATCAAGTTTTATCAAGGCAATCTTTAATCAACTCAATTAAAAATGTAAATCCTGATTTTATGGTCATTGATGGATTTAAATTAATCAGAAATATTTTTGTTCTTCCGTACAAGCTGGGTATTCCCTTTGCTGTAATTGGCACTGAGCATGATCTACTTATGCATAGAGTGCCATTTAGCCCCGCTGTAGAAGCAAGAGTACCGTACAGAGTTAACAACAGAATGAACTTTTATGAAAGACTAACCTCCACCTTACGTACGGTTCTAGAGCTAAGCTATGACGTATTCTCTGATAGTGACATCGTGACTAGAATAGCACCAGAAAAACCCTACACGACAATTGGTGATATTATATTAAAAGCTGAATTTTTTATTGCCGAACTTGATCACATCTTAGATTATCCCAGACCAATGTTACCCAACACAAAGCTGATTGGTGGATCTTCTGTCAGTGAGCCAAAGCCTTTGATTGGTCAGTTTAAACAGTTTGTTGATAAATCAACCAATGGGATTGTCGTTGTGTCTTTTGGAAGTAACGACATTTCATTTCCTGAACATATTTTAACCAAACTGTCGTCTGCTTTTGAACAACTAGATTTTGACGTCATTTGGAGAGTCAACTTGACGTCCCCTGTTCCAACCAAAATTATGACGTCACACTGGATTCCCCAGAATGACCTACTTGGTCATCCAAAGACCAAAGTCTTTGTTTCCCATTGTGGTAAAAATGGCCAATACGAGGCTTTGTATCATGCTGTGCCTATCCTCTGTCTGCCTATATTCGGTGACCAGTTTTATAATTCTAAAAGAATTCAGGTCAAAGGTTACGGCTTGCAGAAAGACATTCGACACATTTCCAAAGAGGAACTCACCATTGCTATCAAACAACTAGTCTATGACAGCAAATACAAAGGAAATATCGAGAAAGCATCTAAACTATTCAAGGAACTTTACAAAGTTCCATCCAAAGAAGCCGCTTACTGGATAGATCACGTGATGAAGTATGGCGGAGACTATATAAGGTCATCGGGACAGGAAATGCCGTTGTATCAATTTCTTCTTCTTGACGTCATCGCTTTTATAACGTTTGTTTCAACTAGTCTTTTCATTTTCTTTATTGTTACTGTCATGTTTGGTTACAAATTGTTGCTTAAATACCGAAAATACAAGACAAAACTAGAATAAATTATGTTAATTTACTCATCATAGTTCAGAACAAATGCCTTTGACTTGTTGAACTTTTCGTGCATGTATTTTGTCTTGTCACTATTTTTATTTTCACGTCCAAGGTTTGTGCAGATTGTTGTGTAGGCATAAAAAAAATTCATAAAAAACGTTTTAATAACAAGCTTTTATGTAATGATGCACTAAAAAGTAGAAAATAAATTATAGACTACTATTTAAATAACTATAAAGAAAAGCGTGGGTCACTTTAGTATCTATTGGATACCTTTACTAATGTTAAGGAAGACACCCTCGCTTTTCTTTCTAGTTATTTAAATAGTAGTCTATAATTTATTTTCTACTTTTTAGTGCACTATTACTTAAAAGCTTGTTATTAAAACGTTTTTTTATTAAAAAAAATTTCAGTACTTTACATGTTTTATTTACAATAGAATTATATGACTAAAAACCATTGCGCGCCTACTGAACGTGATGTCGCAGCCATTGAACGTGATGGCGCAGCTATTGAACGTGATGACGCGTGTGGTGTGGTCGGATAAGCATGCCTACTAATTCGGTCCAAATTTTTATTAATTCATAAAAAATTAATTAGACATCCAATTAAGTCAAATTTAGTTTCAGATTGCATTGTCTTCATGTCTTGACAAACGTGTCAAATATGAATCGGATCGGTCAAGTAGAAGTGACCGAATTTTCACTCCAGCGTTTCGATCTAGACTGACGACTGACGACAGACTGTCGACAGACTGTCGACAGAGGAAGTGAGTTAAATAAAAGCTTGTAAAAAAAAATGTACAAGTTTTTATTTAATTTGCTTTCTCTGTCTGTCTTTGTGTCTATCAGTCGTCCTAGGTCGAAACTGTTAAGCGAAGTTTCGTGCTTTTATATAATAATGCACTAAAAAATAGAAAACACAATATTTTTCTGTAAATATTTAATAATGCACTATTATTTAAATAACTATTTAAAAAAGAAGGCAAGTTTTTATTTTATTTATTTAGTTTTTAGTACAAATAGAAGCTTATTATAAGGTGTTTTTTTTTTTTTTTTTTTTTTTTTATTAATTCTTAATGACAACAGTTACGACTAAAATATCTGCTTTAGAACTCGATCAGTAGCTTGCGATGACTAAACTGACTAAGAAACAGACAGATATTGTGAACTAATTACAAGCTAATAAAATGTGAAATAATAAATGGTGAAAATAAGGCAACCCTTCTCTCGAAGAGAAACAATCTAGCGTTTAGTTATTAATGCTTAGCTCTTTAAAATTTATAGCTAGAAAATTAAGCAACGAATTTATAGTCAAAGGGGAACAAAGATGAAATTGTTTCACTTCGTAGTTTATCCCAGGTTATCTAGCTTAACTATTTTATTTCAACTTTTTTATTGGAAAAAAACGTTTGATTTAAGAAATTAAACACTAAATAGCAACCATTTACGTTTCAATAATGTTCTATTTTTCTTAATAGACTCACAAATAAAACATATAAAGATCAACCTAAATACGGCATGATTTTGCTAAAAAAATATTTGAATATTAAAAAAAACCAATAAAGCGAGGTAACCGTGGCTTAAAATAAGAACTTATATATATATAAATATTTTCATGTTTGTTCCCCTTTGACTAAAAATTAACTCTTGTTATCATTATTATAAAATTTGAGGAGAGAAACTCATAGTTTTATACATTTACGTTTCAATAATTATAGATTTCCGAAATTTCCGAAATACTATGAGGAAATGAAAAGTTTAACGAAATGCAGTTTTATATTGCTAAAAAAGATTCAAATATCAATGCAGACATTTAAGCGAGATAACCTAAGCTAAACTAAACAGTGAAATATTTTCATGTTTGTTCCCCTTTGACCACAAGTTATCTATTGTATTTCTTTTATAAATTTCAAGGTAGGATAACTGATGCAAAAGTGAGTATCAAAATAGTAAAAACACGGTTGCTTCTCTTAGACCATTTTTCATAAAGATTTATAACCAAGAAAAAAAATCAACCGCAGTCATGGTTTTAGTTCATATGAAGAATAATTTATTATTAAAGAAATAAATTTAATCGAAATACAATAATAATCATACTATAATTGAGTATATAATTGTAAGCGAAATATAATCTTGAATTTTAATCTAATTTGGTGATTTTGCCGAGCATACATAAATAACACAACACACACGTTTAAAATCCTCGCATCTTCTGTATGCGGCTTTTTTCTGTTTTTTTTATTTTTAAATTTTTAAATAATTTTTTTTCTTTCGGCGAAAAACTATACTAAATTAACGAAGCATAATACGTGTATTTTTAACTGTTATTCGAGATCAGCATATTGTAATTGTTGTATTTGAAAGGTATAAGTAAGTACAGGAATATTTAAACATATTCTCTGTGAATGGTGCCATAAAAATGTTTTTTTAATAGCAATGGTTATGCTGCTTTATTAATGCTTATGTGGTGGTGTGGTATCAACACGTGAAATTATTCCGCAACACACAAGTTCTGTAGTAGATCTATATCTATAACATTACAAACTCACCAACCCAATTCCTCAATACATTTGAGAACAGGCTGTAAAAAGGTAAGGGTGTAAATAAAGGATATGAAATTATAAATATTTGGCCGCAAACTCAACTTGAAAATAAATAAAAAGGCACGTGTCATACGCATAATTAATAGAAAATATATGCAAAGTTTATTATAATTTTTTATATAAGCCAATGCACATACACAGCCTAAAGCTCTACATACACTGCCCAATGGTCCACATACATTGCACAGGGTCAGTGAATGTGGGTCAGTGAATGTGGGTCAGTGAATGTGGGTCAGTGAATGTGGGTCAGTGAATGTGGGTCAGTGAATGTGGGTCAGTGAATGTGGGTCAGGGATTTGTGGGTCAGGGAATGTGGGTCAGGGAATGTGGGTCAGGGAATGTGGGTCAGTGAATGTGGGTCAGGGAATGTGGGTCAGTGAATGTGGGTCAATGAATGAGGATCAGGGAATGTGGGTCAGGGAATGTGGGTCAGTGAATGTGGGTCAGGGAATGTGGGTCAGTGAATGTGGGTCAGGGAATGTGGGTCAGTGAATGTGGGTCAATGAATGAGGATCAGGGAATGTGGGTCAGGGAATGTGGATCAGGGAATGTGGGTCAGTGAATGTGGGTCCGCGAATGTGGGTCAGGGAATGTGGGTCAGGGAATGTGGGTCAATGAATGAGGATCAGGGAATGAGGATCAGGGAATGTGGGTCAGGGAATGGGGGTCAGTGAATGTGGGTCAGGGATTTGTGGGTCAGGTAATGTGGGTCAGTGAATGTGGGTCAGGGAATGTGGGTCAGTGAATGTGGGTCAATGAATGAGGATCAGGGAATGAGGATCAGGGAATGTGGGTCAGTAAATGTGGGTCAGGTAATGTGGGTCAGCGAATGTGGGTCAACGAATGTGGGTCAGCGAATGTGGGTCAGGGAATGTGGGTCAGTGACTGAGGACTCCAGCTTAACGACACATTTCGTTTGAAAAGTCTGACAAAAAACACAAGTAGGGAGTGGCGTTGGTTTACACACGTACATTGAACATTTATCAGCCCACTGTGTTCTGTATGTATTCATTACGTGTTCATGTATACAAAAAATTGATATCGATCAAGTCGAATTTTCTAATTTAATGCTGGGCAGCCTTCAGATGTAAAGGTTACATTATACAGCATAGGTGCTTTCTCTAAATGACGTCATACTCTTTGATGAGGGGGGTCTGACGATGTGTGACGAGGGGGAGGGGGTGGGTCAGAAAGTGTGACGACACACTTTGGGATTTATAAAAGCAGTATAAGATACTGAATTTTAGCTGTTGTTTCAATTTTTTAAAATGCTGTCTTTGTAAATTTTAATAGACATTCGTAACATTATCAGTGTTTTTAAAAAACATAAATTAAAATTTTGATGGGTTTGAAGCTTGAGGTGTGACGTCATTTTAGTGGTCGGGGGCACTCGGGGGTCTGGCTTTTTGTGACGATAGTGGGGGGGGGGGGAGGGGGGGAGGTAAAAATCGTCCCCAAAAAAGCGTGACTTTTTTTTATGGATAACATCGTAATAAACATTTTCTCTACCTATTTTGTAGTAGTTACGGACAAACTGTGGAGTCATACATTTTTGTTTGAACACGAGGTGATGACGTTTATATAATAAAATGACGTCTATTTTCCCACCGTCTTTGTCCTGGTTTTGATAAAGGAAACAAAAGAAGGATAACCGTACCGCGAATACACAATCATTAGTTTAAATGGTGTTTGTATGACGGTCGCTAAATGAAGGCACCGCCCAGTTTAATGAACGGGTTGAATACACTTCTTAGAAAGTAACTTAACTGGACTAATGATTACTCCCCCTTGTACTTAACTAGACTAATTATTACTCCCCCTTGTTGACGTTGTTCAGTAGACTAGATGCCCCTTAACTGCCACACATATGGTAGAGTATGGTTTTAGCTTTATAAAATTTTCATTCGATGGACAGCGTACATACGCCTCTGAGAACAGAATGTTAATTAGGATAATACAGCTGTTGTTAATTAGACAAATGCAGACTAAAAATGTCTCCTAACAGCAACACATAATGCGCTGTATGGTTTTAGCAAAGTTGTATTAACATATATTTTCCATAAGATCAATAAGCCATTCTGAATAAAGAATTTCTTTACATATCATTGAGCGCCTTGACTTGTGTCAGTTGAATGGGATGAGTTTATCAATGACAAAACGTTTTACTATTTAACCAACATTTTAGAAGTTCTATGAAAACAATTTCGAGTTTGAAAAGGTAAAGATGTAGCATACATAGAATATATATATATATATATATATATATATATATATATATATATATATATATATATATATATATATATATATCAGAAATTTAAATATATATATATATATATATATATATATATATATATATATATATATATATATATATATATATATATATATATATTATTATTATTATTATATTTCTTTAAATTTTAGTAGTGGTTTTTTTTTTTAAACAAAGCTAAAATAAGTTTTTCCCACGTTTTTTAAATACTTTATTTAAATTTCTGACTGACATATGACTTGCTCTGAAATGTCAGAGAAAATGTTATTCAAAGACTTCCCGCCTCATTATGAAGACAATATAAAAACCAAAATCAACTCGTTTTATTCCATTAGGTGACAATGTTGGGGCTCAAGTTTCTCGTCTTGACCTTGAGTGTCGATGTACTCACGCCAGTGGGCAGCTCACGTGTCGTCATGTTTCCTGGGTTCCTCAAAAGTTTTTTCATCCAACACGCCAACATAGGCCAGGCTCTGATCGACCTGGGTCACGAGGTGTGGAGTTGTATGCCAGAGTACCTGAGTAGTTCAAACCTGGTCAAGTTCAAGGACATCAAAATCTTAAAGTATGGGGAGGCGCTGGGAGACATAGAGCAGCAGTACATGCGCAATACAAACTTTGCTGATGAATTCTGGGATGGAAAAGACACCGATTTATATCAACTTGTCGGGTTAGCAGAAGTATATAAATATTTTACCAGCGCAGTTTTAGAGGACAAAACTTTTATTGACAACATCACAAACTTGAAGGCTGATTTTCTTGTCATTGATGGGCTTATGCTTATGAGAAATATTTTTGTTCTTCCATACAAGTTGGATGTTCCGTTCGCTGTAGTGGGATTTCTGCACGACATGGTGATGCATAGAGTGCCATTCAGCCCTGCTGTAGAGCCAATGTATCCTTATAAATTTAACAACAGAATGAACTTTTATGAAAGACTAACCTCCACCTTACGTACGCTTTTAGAGCTAAGCTATGACGTATTCTCTGATAGTGACATTGTGACTAGAATAGCACCAGAAAAGCCCTACACTACAGTTGGTGATATTATATTAAAAGCTGAAATTTTTATTGCCGAACTTGATCACATCCTAGATTATCCCAGACCAATGTTACCTAACACAAAGTTAATTGGTGGATCTTCTGTGAGTGAGCCAAAGCCTTTGATTGGTGAATTTAAACAGTTTGTTGATGAAACAACCAATGGGATTGTTGTTGTGTCTTTTGGAAGCAAAGATATGACATTTCCTGTTGATATTTTGAAGACGCTCTCGTCTGCTTTCAAACAACTCGAGTATGACGTCATTTGGAAGGTCAACATCACCTCTCCTGCGCCAAACAAAATTCTGACGTCACACTGGATTCCACAGAATGACCTACTTGGTCACCCAAAGACCAAAGTTTTTGTTTCCCATTGTGGTAAAAATGGCCAATACGAGGCTTTGTATCATGCTGTGCCTATCCTCTGCCTGCCTATCTATGGTGACCAGTTCTACAACTCAGAAAGAATTCGTGTCAAAAGCTTTGGACTTATTGGCGACGTCAGGAAAATTACAACAGAAGAGCTAACATCTTCTATCAAAGAACTCGCCCACGACAACAAATACAAAAGAAATATCGAGAAAGCGTCCAAGCTATTCAAAGAACTTTACAAAGTTCCATCCAAAGAAGCCGCTTACTGGATAGATCACGTGATGAAGTATGGCGGAGACTATATGAGGTCATCAGGACAGGAAATGCCGTTGTATCAATTTCTTCTTCTTGACGTCATCGCTTTTATAGCAGCTGTTCTGTCTGGAGTTGTCGTTATTTTTGTCCTCATTGTCAGGTTTTGTTGCCGATTGCTGTATAAACACGGAAAATATAAACCAAAGACAGAATAAAAACTTGGTTTTATAACGTTGCACATATTAAATTTTTTTTTTTGCGACTATGCACATAATGCAGAACTTAATTTGACCCACCCTCAAATCACTTCCTGTACACGTGCCAATGTAACCAATGAGCTACACCTGTGTCGACTATACATCCCCTGGCTTGCTGCAATACACTTGTATAGCCAACAAACACGGATTTTGAAATAAATAGTCTCATTTTTAGCGCAATTTCCATACTGGACAATTGCGATTATTAACTCGTCATTTCTGGATGGATGTGTGTCCGCAGCTTTAAGTAGTATCTCCTCCTCAACGAAGCAATATCGAGGACTAGTTCCAAAGCAAATATGTTAAGCAAGTTCCAAGGATGATTGTGGGCCAAAAAAATTCCCGGAATTCCTTCCTGGATTTCCCGGAAAAGCCAAAAAACCTCGAAAAAATGCAGTTTTTGGCCCATATCTCGGCAACCAGACCACTTAGCGACTTGAAACATTTACCAATCGATTCCTGCCATAATTTAGAACAATATTGCCGAAGAAAGTTTTCAAAAATATCCTTTCGTTCGGTCACAAAAAATTAATTAAGGAAATTGCGCTTAAATTGTCACTAGACTTTTTATTAACTTGTTTTTTCTTATACGGGCATAGTTAGCATGAGCCAGCCAGACTGTATCAGACGAAGAAAGAAAATATCTTCCATTGCTGGTGTTTGCTAGGTCCGTGTGTCTTCACTAATATTGTCTTGTCGGATTTGAAGAATTCTTTTTAAAATAGTTTTAACAACCATCGTTTTTACCATTATATATAAAGGAAGAAAATGTTTAATTTTTTTTATTGAAAGTGCATATAAAATCCTATTATTATAACTGATTTTTATCTGTTGTGTGTATTTTGTTGTGAATGGCAACAGACCTAACTAAATTGATGACACGCCAAAACACTGGCTGGCTGGAAGGTTCTAGAAAGATTAGACATTGTCAGCACCATGCAAATGTCATATTCTCCAATATAGAGCAACATTTCTAGAAATGTATTTTTCGGATATTGGATGAGCCAGAAATGCATATATATTGTAGTAACAACATCCATTTCTATGGGTCCATAAATATTAAAAAAAAGAAATGCATCGACATTGTAGTTTAATAGCTACCTTCAGTTTATATTTACTGACAGATGTTGTCTGTAAGATCCATCCCTAATAGTATTTGGTAACCTGTGATATTTGTGTGAGCTTTCTACAGATTGGAAGTATTTTGTTTTAACATTTGCACACACTATACCAAACAAACAAGGCTAGTAGTACTCACATGTATAAAGTTTATTTACAAAGTGACATTGTTCAAAAATTTTTTACAAATGATCAGTCATCATGTCATAATTACAGAAGTCATATATTGTCATGTCATAAATACAGAAGTCATATATGTTGTTATAGTCATATTTACAGAAATCATATATTGTCAGCCATATATTGTCTAAAGTATAGAAGTCATAAATTGTCTAAACTATAGAAGTCATATACTGTCTAAAGTATAGAAGTCATATACTGTCTAAACTATAGAAGTCATATATTGTCTAAAGTATAGAAGTCATATACTGTCTAATCTATAGAAGTCATATATTGTCTAAACTATAGAAATCATATATTGACTCTAAACTATAGAAGTCATATTTTGTCTCTAAACTATAGCAGTCACATACTGTCTAAACTATAAAAGTCATATATTGTCGTAGTCATCATCTTCAAGTTTCCTCTTCAAGGGGTTGGTTGTGATTGAGATGGTTGGTGTTGACACGGATGGTGTGGTTGGCGGGACAGGGGTTGTGGGCACGGGGTTTGCTGCCAGGGTTGTGCTGGAGGGGGTGAGGCTGATTCCACCTGTGCTGATGATTCTACTCATACCTGAGGCACCCAGAGCTCCTAGAGAGGGAAAATGTGGTGTTGAAGAATACTGTAATTATTGTATTATTGTAGCAAGATAAACAAACTAGAATCTATACAAGGTACATTTCAACAGTTGAAGAAAAATCTATAATAATAGTTTCGCTGTCTGTCTGACAAGAACGCTCTGTCTGACAAGAACGCTCTGTCTGACAAGAACGCTCTAGAGAAAACACAAGGAAATTAAAAACATGCATAGTATTTCGAAAAACGAAGTATGCCACATTTAGCATAGAGTTGAAAATAATCTCAAGGCGGAAAGTGCACACAGTAATATAATGACGTCATTGATTATCGCGTAAACATTGAATAAAAAGGAAATTTTGTCTAATCTAAATGGTTTGCGTGAAGAGTTTCTTGCATACAATTCTTCGGGTAGGGGCGAAGCCCCACCCCCCGCGTAAGAACGTCTGAGCCCCCCCCCCCCCCCCCCCTCCCCAACTCAAAAGAAATTTCCTCATCGATACTCTATAATAAAATTACCGCCTAATTAATGTGTCTAATCTAAAAAGTGGTTTTCTTGCAATGGGACGGTAGACATGTTTTTTTTTTTGGGGGGGGGGGGGGGGGGGGGGGGGGGGGGGTGGAGGGGTTGGTGGGGGGTGGTGTGTGGGGGGGGGGGGGGTGGGGGTTGGTGTGTGGGGGGGTGGGTTGGTTTCAGTGTTTCTTTCAGACTTTTTCCTCCCCGGAGAGGGGTGGGGGTACTTGAAATTTTCGGGGGCGGGGGTAGAATTTTTTTCTGGGAGGGGGCGGACACTGGAAAAAGTATATAATTATATTTCGTTGAATGGGACGGTAGACATGTTTTTTTTGGGGGGGGTGGGGGGGGCGGTGTGTGGAGGGGGTGGTGTGTGGGGGTGAGGGGTGGGGGTGGGGGGTGGGGGTGGGGGTGGTGTGTGGGGGTGGTGTGGGGGGGGGGTGGGGGTGGTGTGTGGGGGGGGGGGGGGTGGGTTGGTTTTAGTTTAGAGAAAAGAGACAGCACTATCAGCCTAGCGCCCGTTGTACCCTTCCTCAACGGGCCATTTTTCTCGTCTATAATAATAGTTTCGCTGTCTGTCTGTGTATCTGACAAGAACGCTCTGTCTGACAAGAACGCTCTGTCTGACAAGAACGCTCTAGAGAAAACACAAGCAAAATAAAAACATGCACAGTAATTCGAAAAACGAAATATGACGTCGACACATTTAGCATAGAGTAGAACATAATCTCAAACCAGAGAGTGCACACAGTAATATGACGTCATTGATTCTCGCGTAAACATTGAAAAAAAGGAAATTTTGTCTAATCTAAATGGTTTGCGTGAAGAGTTTCTTGCATATAATTCTTCGGGTAGGGGCGAAGCCCCACCCCCCGCGTAAGAACGTCTGAGCCCCCCCCCCCCCCCCCCCTCCCCAACTCAAAAGAAATTTCTTCATCGATACTCTATAATAAAATTACCGCCTAATTAATGTGTCTAATCTAAAAAGTGGTTTTCTTGCAATTTCTTTAATGCAATTCTTCGGGTAGTGGCTAAGCGCGACACCAGTGTTTCTTTCAGACTTTTTCCTCCCCGGAGAGGGGTGGGGGTAATTGAAATTTTCGGGGGCGGGGGTAGAATTTTCGGGGAGGGGGGCGGACACTGGAAAAAGTATATAATTATATTTCGTTGAATGGGACGGTAGACATGTTTTTTTTTGGGAGTGGGGGGGTGGGGGTGGGGGGTGGGGGTGGTGGTGTGTGTGTTGGGGGGGGGTGGTTTCCTCATCGATAATCTATAATAAAATTACCGCCTAATTAATGTGTCTAATCTAAAAAGTGGTTTTCTCGCAATTTCTTTAATGCAATTCTTCGCGTAGTGGCTAAGCGCAACACCAGTGTTTCTTTCAGACTTTTTCCTCCCCGGAGAGGGGTGGGGGGTACTTGAAATTTTCGGGGGCGGGGGTAGAATTTTCGGGGAGGGGGGCGGACACTGGAAAAAGTATATAATTATATTTCGTTGAATGGGACGGTAGACATGTTTTTTTGGGGGGTGGGGGTGGGGCTGGGGTGGGTGGGTGGGTGGGGCTGGGGTGGGTGGGGTGGGTGGGGGGTGGGGTTGGGGGTTGGGGGTAGGTGTGTGTGGGGGGTGGGTTGGTTTTAGTTTAGAGAAAAGAGACAGCACTATCAACCTAGCGCCCGGTGTATCCTTCCTCAACGGGCCATTTTTCTCATGTTATGAAGAATACTGTAATTATTGTATTATTGCAATAAGACAAATAAACTAGAATCAAGTTCAGGTACATTTCAACATTTGAAGAAATAAAGTTGCAATGCTGAAGTATAATTTTATCATTGTATTATTGAGACAAGACCCTAAATTAAAATCTATGTAGGGTAAACTAGAACAGTTAAAACACAGATTCATTGTAACGCAGCTCAGTTTTTCTTCACAAAATTACCAAGATATTCAAAACTTGACACCATTAACTCAGATGGTTGGAGTTATATATTTTAAATCATTTAAGCCTTATGAATTAATGATGAAACAGATGAAATCTACTTGATCTGCCAAACTGGCTGCCTGGTCCAAAAGAATATTTCATCCATAATGAAGTTTGAAATCCTAGGTAACACTAAGTACATAGTTATTGGAGTCTATGTGTATTCTTAAGTTTCATGCTATGCCCTGCCCTATACCACCATGAAAGTAAGGAGCCACTTACCTATGCCCAGCCCTACTTTATAAGACCATAGCACTATTGTACGGGCCAGAAATGCATATAATGTAGTAACAACACCCATTTCTAATAGTACTAGAAAACATGGGTCCACTTACCTATGCCTGGCGTGACCCTAACTGTGGGTTTGGGTATAGTTTGAGGCTTGTTGAGAATGGTTACTGTAGGCTGAGTTAAGGTTTTGGTCACTACAGCCAACGTAGGTCCTCCAATACTTTTCACTGAAATGTGGGGGAATCAACGAGAAAAATAAAGTATTGTGGATACAAGTAATAGTCATTAAATAAACGACTGATTTATAATTAGAGCTGTCAAATAAAGAGTATCAACACTGGTCAGTGTGATATACAATATATCAACAACATATACTGGACAGTGTGGTATACAGTAATTCAGTATGCAAAAATATTTTTTCATGTAGTATCAAACTCACTAAAATAAGATTTTTTTTCTCAGTTCCTAGTTCACATATAAAGATACTTTTAAAAAGAGATTGTAACAAAAAATATACTTAATACAAGCAATTCACTACTGCTTCATACAGATTTTTCTCAATAGGTTCGCAATAAATCATTTTAAAACAAACATTTAACCTCAACACTTGGTAAATTTCCTACCTTGTGAAGTCAAGCCAATTCTTTGACTAACTGGGAGTCCATACTGTACACTTCGAGGCTGAAAGTAAATATGGAGTTAAAAATTATGACCTTGTTGATCAGTACTAATTAGCATAATTAGTATTGTCAATAAAACCTAAAGCTGATAAAACTTATCCTAGCCATCAGCCAAACCTGAAGTAAATCTTAATTCATACTAATCTTTTTTTTCTTACATAAAAACACAAGAATGGGGTCATACAAGAAGGGTGTATTGGCCAACAGGAACAACTGTGTTACACTAAATAATATTTAAGTTATGTAAGTGACTTGAGAGAATCAAAAAGGTAAACACGCGAATGTTTGCCAGAGATAGAATATTCTACATGCTGTGATCTCAATAGGCAAATAGGTGCCGTAACAAAGTTTCTTTAAGTTTATGTTTGTTATTTCATGAACCCTGCCTACTTCCACACTCCTCATGACATTGACACATGCAATAGGTAAGACAAGGAGCATACAAGGTCTACAAGAAGAACACAGGCAGTGAATACATGTGGAGAATCTGGTCAATGATTGAACAGGTGACAGGTTTTGATGAAACATTTGTATAGTAAATAATAGGAGGATAAGTGGCAAAATATTTAATAGGCAACTCTATATCTTGTCCACACTAAAGTGACAACATGAACTTTCAGAGGCTACAAAACAAAATCATTATGAAGAGAGATGAACAAGTCCAACACAGAAGACCCCTACTGGATCTATGAGGGTAATTCTGTACTACAGATATGCAGATGGCATCTATCCACAGAGGACCAGCTGGTAGCTGTAGGGTCACAGAGCATTCTATCCCCATTTTATATCAACATATCCCACTGTATTCACTGACCAGTGTATAGGAATCAATGGTTGACATTTTAAACTTGCATAAACTTTTACAAGGGTTTGACATTTGTGAACTTTAATAATTGATGAAGTCAGAGGCGTTGCGATGGGGGGGGGGGGGGGGGGGGGCAGGGGGGGGGGGGGCAGGGGAGACATTTGTCCCCGGGCGCTGATCTTAGGGGGCGCCAAAATGGGTTGGAAAAAAGTAATCGAAAGTTTGAGGGGGGGGGGGGGGGTCCCGCTACGCCTCTGGATGAAGTAACCATAAAAAGAAATGAACATCAGATAGTGTTCAGTTATAAAGGGAGGTAATCATAATGTTGAGTAATAGAAATTCATCCATGAGAAGGGCTATTTCCCTTTAAAGCATTCTGTAAGTGGGTATTTTAACCATTGATTATTCAAGAAGACATAGCACTAAATTTTGGATGATTTACATACATTTTCATACTTACATGACTACTAAAACCAAGCTAATAATTCTATTGTTAGGCCATCTTTAAAATAAAAACGGGCAGAAGTTGAAATTAGGGGTGCAAAACTGAGAAGGAAGCGGTGAATAAACCCAAAGCTGAACCCATGGTACATGATAGAGAAATGTTTAGGACAGGTTCATTAAACTTTTTAAAACTGTTACCAGAGTAGACTGGTGTATTTTACAAATGACCAACAGTATTCTATTGAAGTGGTTTTTCATTACATAGACATGGAGATTTAAATAACTGATTTCCTTGACTGTAGAACCAGCATCAAGGCCTGTCACTGACCCAACCAGTATTTACAACAGTGTTAATAAAATACCAATTTAGGTCCAAAGGTTGAATAAAATACCAATTTAGGTCCAAAGGTTGAATAAAATACCAATTTAGGTCCAAAGGTTGAATAAAATACCAATTTAGGTCCAAAGGTTGAATAAAATACCAATTTAGGTCCAAAGGTTGAATAAAATACCAATTTAGGTCCAAAGGTTGAATAAAATACCAATTTAGGTCCAAAGGTTGAATAAAATATCAATTTAGGTCCAAAGGTTGAATAAAATACCAATTTAGGTCCAAAGGTTGAATAAAATACCAATTTAGGTCCAAAGGTTGAATAAAATACCAATTTAGGTCCAAAATATAAAATCTTTTTGTTACACCACAAGTCTAATTTAGCATCAGTAAATAATCTTAAACTAAGTTCTTCAGAAAATTCTCAGAGATCTTCAAACTCTCTCAGTGTTAAATTTAACTTTTTGATGATATTCTAATGATTGTTATAATAGAGGAAAATGTTGACTAACATAGTGACAAAAAGAACTTATGACGTTGGCACGATCCACTTAACAATTCTTTTGCAAGCACAACTTGTGTCGATATGTGTTAATGGATACACAATTTGTTTAGTTAAATATATTTATTTCACATGATCAATAATTGGATTTAAAATAAAGATTTTCTTTCTAGAAGAATAAAACACAAATTATGAATTGCTGATAAGCAGAAAATAAAGCAACTAGATGGCAGCATATGCTACATCGCGGGTCAGCTCGTTATAAATATTTTTCCTAATTAAAAAAAATTCACTGGTTGGTAGGTTTGTCTCTGCTGCAAATTAACCATACAAATACACACTGATTGGGTGCGGGTAAAATAGAAATGCTGAGTCATGATTTTACATAATATAATAAAAAACCCTGACTGGAAGTGAACCCCAAATATAATCAGATTAAATAAATATTTTAACTGTATTTCTATTTCACTATTTGGGCAATGCCAAATTGAAAAAAAAAAAAAAAAAAAATATATATATATATATATATATATATATATATATATATATATATATATATATATATATATATATATATATATATATATATATAAAACATGTAACCGCCCTTAATTTTTTGAAGCCAATATAACTCTTTATTTATTTAATGTGTTAAATTATTAGTAATTTTATGTAGTAATAAAATAAGAAGCACACAGAAAATAGTTTAACTAAGCTAAAATCTGTAACAATCTACTAGACCAATGTACCACAACACTTCAGTCACACAGATTGAACAATAAGTTGGCAACTATGGGGTAATAGATAGCACTAAAATTTTGGGTAACAGATAGCACTCAAATGTTGGACTAAGTATAACCCTCAATGCCCTAACACCCATAACCCACCCATTCTGTGGGCACTGACTTACACCATAGTCACTGTGCTGCTATCTTCACTACATATAAATCACTTGAAAGATAACACATGGATTGGTAACCCTTGGGTGAAAAACTATAACAATATATTGGGTATTAAATAGGCAGTTTTTTTATGACAACCTTTCTCCAATTCTTGCAAAGAGACAATACAGTTATTAAAGGTAAGAACTTCTTTTACATAGTAAATCCAATGTTGAACTTAATCTGTTCCCAAATTGCATTTTAAGTCCATGATCATAGTCCCATAAAAAAATATTATTCGGTCAGAGCTAGAGAAAAGTCTCAATTCTTATCCCACAAACAATTAATCCCATTGTTATTCAGAGGCATAAAAATCAGGATCCTTAAAGCATGGCTGTTTTACCTATAGGTTACCAAAATTTTTTTTTATCTACTTGAGACAAGAAAAAAAAGCTGCTACTGGATTGCATGGTTGTAAACATTGCTTTTCTTTCAAACTTTTAATTTCCTATGTCAGCTTAATGTGGACTTATGTTTTCAAAATCTCATTTTCAGGTTTTATTTTGTGACATTTAGGACATTATAGAGATGAGGACGCTAACACTGCAACTTGTTTTAATATTTCTTTACCCGCGCCTAGGCTGGGGTAAAACTGTGGTGATGGTCCCTGGCCCGGGGAAGAGTTACATCCTTTACCATGCCAGGATAGCAGAGGCCCTGACAGAGTTGGGTCATGATGTGTGGATGTGCATGTCCCACAACATGACACAGAGGGGCCTGGTCAAGAACAAATCCATTCACATTCTCAGTTACAGAGAGTCTATTCCAGACTTGGAACAAAAGATGGAGAGCAGTCTGAGAGGAAGTAACATGTTCACAGACTTCTGGGAAGGGAAATCTTTAAACTTTGACAGTCTAAAATCAATACTAAAAGTCGTTGAGGAGACCGGGTATGAAATAATGTCAGACGATGATTTTCAGAAACAGATTTTAGGTTTGAAACCAGACCTGATGGTGCTGGAGGAGGCACCAGCATTGAGAAATATGGTCTTGTTACCTTACAAATTTGACATCCCCTTTGCTTGGATAGGAACAGCTCACAACATGATCTTATCTAGGGTCCCATTCTCCCCAGCAGTGGAGACTAATATTTTCTCTAAAGACACCCACAAAAAACAATTTTGGCAGAGGCTGAAATCAACGTTTGAGCATGTTATATCAATGTACTATGATCCATTTTCAGACAACAGTTTTCTCAGCAAATACGCCCCAGAGAAACCTTACAAGACCATCAGTGAAATAGCACTGCAAGCTGAGGTGTTTATTTCTGAAATGGACCATATTCTTGACTACCCAAAGCCAACACTTCCCAATACTAAACTAATAGGTGGATCATCTGCAACTGAACCCAAGCCTCTTAGTGGACAATTCAAACAGTTTGTTGAGCAGTCAAAAAATGAAGTCGTCATTGTAACTTTCGGGGGGAATGATTTTCCAGTACCCGAGCACATTGTTTTGAAAATGATGTCCGCGTTTGAACAACTTCCTTTAAGTGTAGTGTGGAGAATGAACACCACTTCACTTGACCCTAATCAAATATTGACCTCAACCTGGATTCCACAGAATGACCTACTAGGCCATCCAAAAACAAAAGTCTTTGTTTCCCATTGTGGAAAGAATGGACAATACGAAGCTCTATATCATGCAGTTCCTATCCTGTGTCTTCCAATCTATGGAGACCAGTTCTACAACACAGAGAGAGTGCAGGCTAAAGGGTTTGGTGTTGGTAGGGACATCAGAGAAATCAGTGTCACAAATTTGGCTGACACTATTCAGGAGCTTGCCAATGATGGAAAATACAAAAGAAATATACAAAAAGCGTCCAATCTATTCAAAGAACTTTACAAAGTTCCATCCAAAGAAGCTGCTTACTGGATAGATCACGTGATGAAGTATGGCGGAGACTATATGAGGTCATCGGGACAGGAAATGCCGTTGTATCAATTTTTAATTCTTGATGTTCTGGGTTGTGTGGTGGTTGTTGTTATTTTCACTTGCACTGCCATAATTATGTTGGCCAGATTTTGTTACAGAAAGGTTTTGAAACAAAAACATTATAAGCAAAAAACTCTTTAAATAAATTCAACCTAGAAATCAAATTCTATTCCTAAGCTGTACATTTTAACTAAATTCTCTATCGCTGTTATTTGTATTTTAACTTCAATTTAAATTTGTAATAAATTTGTAAATACTGTATGTTTGATAACTTTTATATGTAAAATTTGACAGAAAAGTGTATAACTGTATAAAATATTGGATGTAGAAATCAATCTGCAACCTATATGAGTTGTTTGACTTAACATCAAACACAGCTTTAACTTAAACACAATATATCATCATCAATTTACACATAGAACAGTACATAAGCATTATTTCTTAAGACCTCCATGAATATAAAATACTGCCTAAACTTAATTTTTCCTGTAAAAAGAATTTAACACATTTCATAAAGCTGCACAACACAGTCACGTGGCTCCTGTGGTTGGATTACTTCAGAATTTATGATGCAGAATTTTCACTATTTTTCTTCACAGATGGGAAAACTATGTTTAAGAACTAATAACGTTAGATAGTACAGACCTTTGGTTCTCATTAAACCAAAGTGTATTTACATTCTCTTAAAGGAGTGTTAACTCAAGAAAAATATACTTAGAAAAATACTTACCTTTTTTAAAGTTTTGAGCTTGTAGTTGGGAGCTGTCATGCAGTACCTGTCAGGGGGTAGCCTTGGTCCACAGTAAGGTTTGACTAGAGGCAGGGGCTGACAGTTCTTTTGTCTGGCTATCTCCATCAGCAACTTGAATACAAATTGGCAAAAATTTAAAGAGAACAGAGAAAACTAAATTTCTTTACTAAAATTTACATTAAGTTTAAAACAAATTGACACAAATTTTAAGAGAACTGAGAAAACTAAATTTCTTTACTAAAATTTACATTAAGTTTAAAACAAATTGACACAAATTTAAAGAGAACAGAGAAAACTAAATTTCTTTACTAAAATTTACATTAAGTTTAAAACAAATTGGCAAAAATTTAAAGAGAACAGAGAAAACTAAATTTCTTTACTAAAATTTACATTAAGCTTAAAACAAATTGGCAAAAATTTAAAAAGAACAGAGAAAACTAAATTTCTTTACTAAAATTTACATTAAGCTGCTGAATGAAAATACTTTAACGGAGAAAGCAGAAATAAAAAAGGAAATAATCAATTCATGAAGATGTTAAATAACAAAATATCCAATAAATAAAATTTCTTGATTAAAAAATGAATTATGGATGGCAAAAATTGTGTTGTTGATTTACCCAGAGCTGATGAGTACAAGACTTGATACAAGAAAACCTAAAGCAGCAGGACAGAGTGTTGGTGAACTCTACTTTATCTGCTCATTGACAATCTTGTCTTAAAGCAAGGGGAGGGAAGGCTTTTAAATGTAAAACTTACATCTCTAGGTGGTGGAGTGGTAAACGAATGGTCCATCTTCATTTGAACAGCCAATTTTATATCATCAGTGTCAACAGATTTTTTGTTGGCATGACTTGAATAAATCTTTGCATCTTCCAGTACATCAGTAACATAGCCTGGAAAAACCATTAAAAAACTAGAGTAGAAAGGGAAGTAACTTATTAATGTCTATGTGTCAAGGGTTAAGTTAAATTACATTTATGCAATATGCAGAACAAATTTTGCTCTAACAATTTAAAGTATTTTCCTGTTTTTTTAGGTGAAAAATGAGAAATATTTTACAAAACTCAAAATGCTTAAGAAATATTTGTGGCCTGGTAAATTACAGCATTCAAATTATAAGCTTATTATTTTACTGATCCTGTGCTGATCTAATAACCCCATTTTATCTTAGTCTAAAAAAAAAAAATCCAAAAAGTGTCAACCATAATGTGAACAATTGTTTTTTAACCTAGAACTTCTAGAGGTAATACACTCAAAATTACCATTTTAAAATTATGTTTATATGTCAGTGCTACCAGCATTGTATCAACCTCAACATGACTAAATATGTGTGATAATACAGGCACATTGAAGGCCTCAAAAACAGCATTACCATGTGAAGCTGATAAGGGGATGGCTTGGGTTATGGAGTGGTGTGTGATGCTAAAGTAAAAGTGTCTCAAAAGATGGAACAAAATGTATTTTTTTTTATTACAATCTATTTTTTTTTTTAAAATGTCTTTCTTTTCTAATAACTTTCTAAAACGCTTATTTAACAATAATAGCTTTTACTTTTAATATTAATTTATTCATGATAAATAATATAAATACAGTAGCTTACATAAAAAACATTGCAATTAAGTAAAGACAGGAAACAATTTTTTAAAAAGTGTGTCAGCTAAAATGTATTGGTCTGATTTGTCAGTGCTAGAAAAAACAGGTCTTAATTATTTTTATCTGCCTTGAACTGAAAAAAAAACTATTTCAGTTCTATATTTGTCAGGGCTGAACTTTGGTGGATAGGATATTGATTACTTAGCAAGCAAAAAAATAGGTTATATTCTGAAATAATCTCATGTAAACTATTGTTAGTGAAACAGGCTAATAAAAGAACATAATTTGTTCTAGTTTTTAACTCATCTTCATGCAGCAAACTAAAACTAAAAGAGATCTCTACTCTACTTATAAAATTTCAAGCTCCAGTTCTTGACTTTATTTTATTTTATTAACCATTAATATTCATCCCAGTATTCAAGACAGGGTTCTAATTAGATAACCCACAAGTGATTATAATATTAGTAATTAGTAGTACTGCTTGCTAACCTGGAGGCAGGATCGGTTGCTAACAACAATGTTGGCATCCACACAAGACGTATGACTTCCAAGTATTTTTTTCGCCTTAGTTCCAGTGACCATCTTATGATTACTTTTAAAAAATTTTACCACGAGCAAAATGGAGGGTTTTTGCATTATAAATAAGGTGGCAGGGCTACATATACCAGAATAGCATTTTAAAATTTGGTTCGGAGAATGAAGGCTAAATTTAAAACATAGTTTCATTGCAACAAACAAACCCAGGAGCTATGAATTGAATGGACTACCTATAGCCTAAATTTAGTACTAGTATATTAGATCTAGGCCTAGATTAAGTATATTTTTATAAAGTGACTACTTGGAAAAAGAATTTCCACCCAAGTGGTATCTGGCCGGCAAAAGATGCAAAATGCAATGACCTAAATATTTGCACAGTGGGCTCATATTAAATACTATTAATAGCTGTGAAAATGGATTCAATTTGTTCTTTTATAGCTGTGCAATCGGATCAATTACTATTTTATTTTTATTCTTCTGACAAAACTATCTGTACTGTGTGGTCGAGCAGTTGCATTTCGGGCGGGTTGTTAGGGGTTGAGGGTTTTTAGTACATAGCATTGCTAGCAAAGATTTCTAGTCTATAAAATATTTTTAAAAATCTTTTTAAATAGCCTATTTATTGTTTTTAAATCTACTATTTAAGTAGTTATTGTGTTAATCCTTGTCCCCAGGGGCGGATTAAGCTTCAACGGGGCCCCTGGCTGAAACTTTTTCCGGGGCCCCCCTCAAATATATATATATATATATATATATATATATGTGACCTTCCCCGAGTCTATCCTGCCCGACAACGCCAATTGTAACGAGTTGAACCACTCATGCTACACAACATCGACTACAGTAGAAAGACTCGAAGATGCAGGTTCGCTATTGATCCTTTTATTACATGAATCAAGAAATGCTTCAATATAACACAATGAATCAACAGGAATGTTTCACAATAATAGTCTGAATCAACTGACCCCTAACAGTCCTCACTAGGCTTCATATAACTGAATCCACATGTCTATTGTCCTTCTTAACACAATATAACCAACTTGATATGTCACACAGACTGACTGATCTAAAGCGAGCGATGAAGAGGGAAGAGCACGAGTTCAGCCGTCCCCTCCTATTTATCCCTTGTATCCGTACTCGTCTTCGTACTTGTATTCCTCCGTAATCGATACTTGTACTCGATGTCTCCGACCACTAGTTGCGCAGTTCTAACGTACAGTCCGTGAAATAACATCTGCATCCTATCAATCAAAGTTGACAGGCTGTCTGAATCCCCTCGTACCGTTTCCCAAAATAGCACGCGTTGGCTTTGAGATTGTTATCAGTCCGATCCAATAAGCCACCTGCTATGTTGCATCAGACTGTAATACTGCGTCTCGGCTTATCGTTCGTTATCAGATTTGTAACTAGTGGCTAGGCCTACCCTAGTCACATCCACCCCTGCCTTTTTTTGTGTGTTTTCAACCACAAACAACGCCTGGCAGGTGCACTCCTCCAAAGTCAATCGCACAATCGTAAAAAAATTTTATTATTCCACTCACTGTCCACGACGTCCCATTCGTATACGATTGACAGTTATACCTATTTCACATATCAACTGTGTCTACATCATCTTCCTGAGACACAAAACAGTTCTAGAATTCACATCCACCCTTTTCGTTTGGTGCCTTCACCAGTTCACTTTTATAGCTTTTTGAACCGTCTGTTCTCATACCAGCGCGACCATGAAAGACTTGATGGTTGCTGACAAAAAATTTCGTCTTCCTTCTGTTCCTCAAACTTCTCCGCGGACCACTTATCTGATGGTCTACTGTCTCTCTGCTTCTGGAAGGAACGGGATCCCCTTTGTTGCCGTTATCCTCCACTTGTGTATCGCGGTTGTTCTGTTGATGGTGATATGGTTCCGGGATGGGTATGTGAATTTCCGTTATAGTTTCCGGTTCCCTAATTGTCTTGGATTTCCTTGTGTGTAACTGCTCTTCTTGCCTATTCCAATATTTCTTTAATTGAGCAATATTCGCCCACCGATCCGGTTTGGCGTGATCGATGGGTCTTATCTTAAAGGGGCCACCTGCTACTCTAGGCATCTCCACGACTTGCCATATCTCCTGTCCCCAGAGGTCGTGGATCTTATTTCTGCCTAACGGGTGGCTACGCAGTAATACCCTGTCATTCAGTTTGAGTGGCGGGTCCTTTGTCTGTACCGGCGGTTCCCTTCGCCGTGCTTCATGTTCTAGTCTTTCCTGTACTACCCTGTACATTTCTCTAATTCTTCTCATGTGTTCATTTACATATTCCAGTGCGGTGTATGAGCCAGTCATACTCTCCCTTTTTCCTAGGAACAAATCAAGAGGGAGTCGAGCCTCCCGT